GATTCCCACCCTAAGTAGTCTGAATAAAATGAAAGGGGCAGGGAGATGCTGTTAACTCTCTTGTTAACCTTTGCTGCCTTGTGTGTACCATGCTGTTTTTATTCTGCTGTGGAGTTGGCTGATTAAGGACTGAAGCCTATATGAACTGTAAGCCAAACAAACCCCTTCCCCTCTAACTTTGGGTGTCAGGTATTTTGTCTCAGCAAAGAGGGAAAGTAACAAGCACAAATAGTATTTCTGCTAATATCAGGATTTGATTTTTCTGCCTTTCCTATTCTGTTATGTCCTGGATAATATCATGAAACATCTGGAGATAGGCATTAGAGCCATGAATAGAAATAGACAAACTGGCTGGGGGCGTGGGACTTCTGAGCTATGACATGGTGACAGGTCCTGGTGTAACAGGGTTTACTAAGCAAAGTCACTTCTGCCAGAAATGGTTGCTAAGCCTAAAGCAAAGATGAGGCTGTGGGAAGGACACACATGGACAGCATCATTAGACTCCATGTGCTAGAGCTGACAGAATGCAACGAATTTGAGGCAAAGCCAAGCAAAGAGTAACAGGAATTAGAATATTAGAGAATTCTTATTAACTACTAATTGATAAATGCAAGGATAAGTAGACTTTGGTGAAAGCCAGAGAAAAATCCATGGAATAGGCTGGCATGTCAGAGAAGCAGCCAAGAAGTTAAACCAGGTAACCGTGGCATAGTTAGTTATATGAGATTTTCAAATAACACACACAAAAGAACTTGTTTTTTCAGTTGTAAAGAATATCTTGAGTTGGCTGGGGATTTAGCTCAGTGGTTCTGCTGCCTGCTTCGCAAGCACAAGGACCTGAGTTCGATCCCCGGTACCAAAAAAAAAAAAAAAAAAAAAAAAACGAAAAGAATATCTTGAGTCAAGACAATTCAGATCATGAGTTTTTGGAAAACAGAAGATAAAACAAATGTTGTATCATTAGTCACTATACTGACTTAGTACATTTTTATGTACCCTCAAAGAACTAGCAGCATGTGTTTTCAGTTTCATCCATGTACATGTTTCTCCTATATTTATCTGTCTTGTTATATACTATTTCCACTGGCCACTTTCAAACTGACATTTTTCAAATAGTATTTATTCTTAATGTATCCTACTGCTTGGTTGAACATTGTTCCTTTACTCATTAAAAATATACCAAGGTGAAGTTCATTAAAAAAAAAAAAGAAAAAAAGGAAGAATGAGAATGTGTCAAAGACTGGAACAGACTAAGGAGACCTAACAACAAAATGCAATGTAGTACTATATCCTGGATTATATCCTTGTACAGGAAAACACTTGGAGGTAGGCAGGAAGAATAAATCCTAATTTAATCAACTGTAAATCTCAAATTATTCCAAAATAAAAAGTTTTGTAAAGGTTTAAAGTCCTATACATAAAAATGGACAGTAAGATATTTTCAGCGTTTTCATGTAATTTATTCATTCAAAAATAGTTACTTAACACTTTTTTGTGCCAAGAACCGGATATACATTGATGTTTAAAGTCGACATGGTCCCTACTCACATGAAAGAACAGGAGAGTACAGGTGAATAGGCCACCAACAATGCAATTAAAAAGCAGGCTAGGTTCTGTTAAAAAATGAACAGGATCAATAGAATCAGCTATAGTTCTTTTGCTTTCTTTGTGTATATTTGAGTTGTTTTTACAATGAATATAATACTTCTATGTCAGCAAAAGCTGTTTCCCAGGCCTACTAGGAAGTTACCTCACAAAACCTCAGCAGATTACCTAATTTCAGTGATTCATTTTTACACCAAAAGAGCAATTATTTGAAATTGCAGTGAATAGTTTTTGTCTTCATTAGTATTGTTGCAGGAGAAGGTAAATCAGTATATACCTGGTATCCCTAAATTCTCTGTACTGGTGACAAATAGAGAGACATAAATGACTCATTGAGGGAGAAAAAGGGATAGATGGGGTCAAGCCATAGATAGAAAAGTTTTTCTGATTCATAGATCATTGTCCTTTTACTTAACCAGACTGCATCCTGTGGATTAATATTGACAGATGCTTTAGACAGATAATTTGTAGATCTCAATTTCAGAAATATGGGGAGCTTTTATTGTAGTTTTATTCTGTATTGATGGGGCATAATCTTTGAAATAATAAGTAATTCCAGTCATTAAATCATTGAAATGTCATGTTGGATTGCTTTTCACTGTTTCCTTTATTCTGTCTAGCTCCTATTCTTAGCTTTCTTTTTTTTTTTTTATTGAGTTTATTGGTACATTTAGGGATACAGTACAGTTACATTCATTGTTGGGATCATGTACCTTTACATGGCAAGTCTTGATTCTCATTTTTTT